ACTTTATCATCAGCTTTCTTAACAGTTTTATTTATGCTTCTGCTGCTGAGCCATGAGGACCTTTGAAATAAAAAACTTAAAGCATCCATTCATCTCCTTCCTCAGACGACCCTGACCCACAGACCCCTCCCTGACAAGAGACATTTCAACAGCATCACAGCAAAAAACTTGGTTATAGTCACTCTTTGGATACTCGTGTCCCTCACCAGTGTGGATGTTATAAAAAGTTCACTTTTTAAAGTCTGTATTTCTCACTGCGCGGGGCTACGAGGATGTGAGGGGTGAGGAGACGATCARCTACAGACAACACCAGGGGGAGAAGAGCGGTGGACTTAACTTTATCTGACAATAAATTTTATTTATTTGTTTTTATCGTCCTGCAGGCTCTGAGAGAAAATTAATTTGAAGCTGTGTTTTTGAAAAACATTGTTGGATTACTGTAAACATCTGTAAACCTGCAAAATGAGGGAAAATCTGCATCAGTTACAGACAATGTAACATTCATGAGGTACTTTGTATTGACTGTTTATGGTTGAGTGTGGGCGTGTAGAGGGCAGAACCTGAGGTGCAGCTGTGATCTATAAAGGAAAGGTGCAGAAACATGCGTACGCACGGTTTTATAAATCTGAATGTTTTTTGGCGTACGTTCAGTTTTAGTATGGTTTCCACGCAATCCTTTATAAATCTGACCCCAGTTTTGTAAGGTTTTTTTTCTGACCTGTAACAAAACAGACTTTTATTTTGAAATACAGAGTTGCTGAAACTGGAAGTACAGCTACAGGTTACTGTAGGTCAGTGTTCAGTAGCTCAGTGACTTGGACATTGTGGTAGTGCRGTGATCTTCATGGAGCCCCAAGGCAAGCGTGTCAGTAAGACCTGACTGATTACTTGACCTGTGTGATCCTCAGGAAAATGTCTGGAGGCAAAAGCCAACAAGATTCCAACCTTAGTCAGTAAAGCAGATTGTCAGGCTCTTCTTGTGTGGTTCRAAGTGTCATGTTGACCAAAGTCACAAAATATGATGCTGACATCATCTGCTCTGACCTCCACTTATTCCTTGACTTCACTATGAAGTATTGGTATAGCAGTGCATAAAATAACTTTGGTCAGTAAGCTCATCTCTGGAGTCAATAACAGATACTTTTTCCGAAGCTCACAACTCKTAGACCTGATGCTTTTGAGCATGACATAAAATAATTCTCACTAGTGAAGTACTGGCTGCTTACAGGTGAAAAATGTGCATTACCTGAATTATTGATAAATATTTAAAAAGATCTATGTATATGTACACACAGGTACAAGTATCCTATATTACAGCTGAAAGATCCCAATGAATGCTGTACATCAGAACATGAAGTGAACATGTAATGGAAAGAATACATTTGGTTTTAAACCAGTTATTTATGAAATACTTTAATGACCCAGTTATTCATAGCTCCCTGTTTATCAGTATACAGAGTGATTAAAGCCCGAACAAGATTAGCTAACAGTAGTCACTCTTAGTTATCACTTGTTTATCTCTGTTTTTCCTTGACCCAGTAAGACCCTTAGGATGAACTGATCAAGATGGCATTAAGGTGTTTGTTAAACAGTATTTGTAGGAGGCCTCCTA